GAAAGAAATGGCAGGCCCAAAGTGATTGGAGGAAGTGAACGAAACGACACCATCTCGTATTAAAAACGGCAAAAAAAAAAGGGAAACTAAATAAAAAGGGCGGGGAAAGGGGCATCTATATATGTCATATATGTGAGTGCTACAAAAAGTGCACTAATACATTCTTTTCATGAGTTATTGTTTAATGACTTGAGAGTTTTTTTAGGTTTTTCTTCGTATTTTGTAGTATTAGGATTTTATTCGTTTGTGTTTGCATTTGCATCATATTTAGTGGTTTGAGGTCCTTTTCATGCATCTTATTAGATGTGGAAGCGAGCATGAAGAAGATGAAGGAAGTCGAGCAAGAAGTGTGAACATAAAGAAAGACCTTATTACGCATATCCTATACTAGGCGCGCTCGCGAGAAAAGAAGTTGCCTTATGATTCGTCACTCTCCTCGTCTTCATCGTCATGCAACTCATTTCCGCTAAGATCTTGTTCTTCATACTGGCCACTTAGCAATGAACGTTCCAAATCTGTCTATTCGATGAGGGTGCCTATCACTTGTTCGCTGATGATATCTACGAGCAAGTTTTTCTATAAAAGTTTTCAAGCTCCATTTTATGAATCTTAGAAATGCGGCTGGGTGTACTGGTTCCACAAGATTGAGTCGTTCACACATCCAGAATTGTCACGTTATTTTCAAAAAATAGCGGTTATGATAAGTAATTAAAACTGATATTTATACGAGTACAGTTAGGGCCTTTTTGGTTGGGTAGTTTGGATAGATAGCTGGGATATGTAATACTGAGACTAAATTGTTGATTCGCAATAATTAATACCTCCTTTGGTTGGAATTATAGGACTTAAACTAATAACCTATGCACTAACAATATCATGTTTTCTTTACTTGATCAAACTGTTTTATGTGAGTTTATTGGCAAAATTACTGTGTTGCCCTTAAAATATATTTGATGTTGATAAATATTGCAAACACAAAAGATAATAGACTTTGTTTGCAAATACAAAATTATAGCTACAATCACATTAAAAAAACTCCCACAAAAGGTTGTATATGATGGAGATACTAAAAATTCCCATACAAATTTAAATTTCATAGAAAGGGCATCTCTTAGATCTTCAAAAAATACAAACAAATAGATTGGATTTTCATATGTTCATTACCACATTTTCAAGAATAAAAAAAAATGGCTCCACTTGTAGTTGTGTACTCCTCTCCAAAGAATGTTGTTAGATTTAGAAGATGATGATGAAAGTAATCAGCCAATCACTATCAAGAAAGAAACCCACTTCTTCTTCTTTTTCAATAGCAAAAGAAGCTTTTCAACCAAGAACAAAACCAAACTCATTAAGCTCACTGCAACTCCATCAAAAAATCAAAAAAAAAACTAATCAAAACCACCATTAATGGCGGACTCAAGAACCAGGCTAAGCGGATTAAGCTCCCATCTTATTCATCATCCAAAAACAAGACCACAAGTTCATTAGACTCAACCACCATTATTAAAACACCACTCATAAAACTCAATTACACTTCAAAGAAAACATCCTCGAACTCCACAAACACCAAAAATTCCTCCGATCTACCATCCAACAACAAAACCACAGCAGCAACGAAAAAACACCAATTAGAAAAAATCGTCGCAGAAAAAACCCTAAAAAAACCCAGCTGGATCGATTCTGTCTCCTCCTCCGACCTTGTTTCAGAGACCTCCCGTTACAGGAAAATACTAGAAATTTAGAGAGTTTTATGGTGAAATTGAAGGGATTAAGCACCAAAACAAAGTAATGATTGGAAGATTGAAAATAGCATGAACTTTTGGATTCTTAACTGTAAAAAACTAGGACGAAGATCTTTGAAGGAAAATGAAGATCTGAAGTATTTATATATGTTAATTTCGTAATTGTGGTATTATTGAAGGACATTTTCGATAATTCACCTGGGTTAAATGTTGGGATTGAAGATGTGATAAGTTGTCAAGCCAAAATTGGCTTGACTATTAATTAGGGGTGGATTCGGTACGGTTGCCAAACATTTGGCTCAATACCGTGTACCTACCGTACATTGTGGTATTGAAAAATTTCATACCGTTACCGTACCAAAATGTTCGGTATACCAATGTTTGGTATACCGTTATTTTCGGTACGTTACAATCGGTACGTGGTACTCTACCGTACGTGGTGATTGTATCAAAGATTAAAGAACAAATGAGCTAACAAATATGTAAATCTCAATTGAAAATAGTTCTAGTGTATCTAATTTTCGAAGAAGGCCCGAGTGTATAATCATGAATAATTAACATAACTTGCTTCAATGAAACAAGAATATAAACCCAAATAAATTTGGTTTAATGGAACAACTAAGTATATCTTAAGTACTTGATTGTACGTAATAATTAGTACATACAATAAATATTTTACTAATACTAAACATACATGTATATGCATGTAAAAAAGAGATATTCATACATGAAATATAATAAAATTAGTTGGCAATAGGTAACATACATGACAATTTAACATAATATATATGTCCAATTATAAAATTCAACTTGGTCGGAAAAAAAAATACACTGCCACTAACTTCAGGTAAAAATAATTGTTGCAATTCATAAGCTTCCAAGTAAAAAATATAATTACAAAAAATAATATCGAGGTAAATATCTTAATCGAATTATAAAATATAAATTGCGGTACGGTACGGTATTACCGTGGTATTAGAAATACAATACCACTACCGTACCATATTGTAATGGTACGGTACTAGTACCGTACCGTAAACATTGGTAACCGTTCTTTCGGTAATTTTTCGGTATTTCTTGGTAGGTATACCGTGGTACATGGTAATTGACATTTTTTTTCCAGCCCTACTATTAATAATTCAATTGAGTGACTATATTGGTGGGACCACTTGTCAAGGATGGGTATTTCAACCAAACCAAACGTTGTACACGGGAGTACAATTCATCCCATCCTGGATAATAATGCAAACCAAAGAGGCCCTTAAGGGATTCTGACCTGATAAGTAATTAAACAACTATGTAATTAAACAAGTATTCCAAAAAACATTTGCCTTAAGTCGTAAATAAACTATTATTACAGAACAAATGTTTAGTTAACAACTAATAC